TCACAAGTCCTGCCAGGACCTTGCCCTCAGGTGCTATCACCCCGATCGGACGGAGTGATGTTGGCTTATCTGGCTTCTTGGGGGGCTTTGGGAGCCAAGAGATCTGTGACGAGGTGACGCTGTCCGAAAGCCTTCCTGCAGTGACTTCCCTATTGAGAGTGTCCGAGATGAGCCGAATAGCGTTGGGGCCTAGGGAGCGCCAAGCTACTATGGGAGGACTTTCTTTAGGAACTGCTTTGCCAAGCTTTATAGTGCCTAGCTGTTCTTGAACTTCTTGCTCGGTGATGTGCAGGCTGCCTTGTATCCCTGTGAGCGGGAAGTCGTCCCCTGCTCCAAACAGTTCAATGGAGTATTCCTCTAATTGTCTACGTTCTTCCTTGGCTGTTAGGAAGCGACCCTCTGAGTCACGTAGCTGAACTCTTTCCTGAGGCCTCCCCGACCGGAAGCGCTTGATCACCTTGTAGAGGGAATGACTCCCGTCTTGCTTGGATTTAAGCTCTGCCTGCTCGAGTTGTTCATCTATTTCCTGTCGTCGCCTTTCCTGCTTCTGACGCTTTGCTACCCTCGCCTGTGCACTTTGCTGAGACAGCGACAGCCAGCAGCGAAATACCATTCGGACCTGCAACTCCGGCAAGAACTCTGCTAAGACCTTGACTGACATTGGGAGTGAGCGCAACACTGTGCGCTCTGCCCAAATGCTGAGATCTGATCTTTGTGCTGCTCCCTTTCTCTTGGGAAAGTGAGTCGCGAGGGCTGAGTTCATTGCTTGATGGAGACTCTGCCAGGTTTGGGGATGATCCTGAAGGAGGGAGTCTACCTCCCTGGCAAATGCCTGTATTTTCGGGGAACGGTGTCTGTAGCAGTCCTCCATTGCCTGCTGGTCATAGGGTTTTGAGGCTTGGGCGGAGTATCTCCTGCTGTGCCTCAGTTTACCAAGAAGGGGGAAATGCCTACTACCATCCCTCCAGGATGCCACTGGGAAGGTCCTTAGTGGCCGGCAAAACCTGGCAGGGCCTTGGGACTGTGCAATCCTGACAAACGAGAAGTCAATCTGTGAAACAGAGTTGCCTTGTTCGTGGGTGGCTGGTCTATGCACTCCCCAAGTGTTGGTTGCGACTAGCTGGTGCTCCGACAGTAGGGTCTGGAGATCCTTAGATCCGCGATGCCCGAGTCTGCAAGCCTGGATCGTGCATGGCCCTACGTGTTTGTTGTCGGTCTTGAGCGAGGAGTTAAAATCTCCTAGCACAAGGAGAGTGTTGCGATTGGGAACAGCTCGGATGGACTTACTTAGGGCGTGAAGGGTCTGCTTCCGGGTTTCCTTATTCTGAGCGACTGTCTCCTTAGAGCGCCAAACGTATTGATAGCAGCTGAAGACGTCCAGTGAGATGCCGTTGCTCGGCACCCGGACCTGGAGAACTCTTCCTGGAACAACCTCGTTGTAGCGAAGATCCTGTGACTTGCACAGCGTGGAGTGCACCATTATGAGGACCCCGGCTCCCTTCTCCCCTGTGGAACCAGAGCTGATCACGTGCCAACCTGACTTGCTGAATTGCCATGAGCCCCTCCAGTGTGTTTCCTGAATTGCTACCAGCTTCACATCCTGAAATGCGGCACTTTGCAGTACGGAGAGTAACTCTTCCCAAACTGCTGTTGTGAGAGATCCTGCGTTCCAGGATAGATAGCTGAGATTCTTATCTTCTGTAAATTTTGAAGGCCGAGTCCTTCTGCCGGGATTGGTGGGCTTTACATGTGCCGGAGCAACTCCAAGCTCTGTTGACGACATCGTCCTTCCCTTGTAGACCGCACTACCTTCAAGCAGAGCTTTACGTGCTGCCCTTTGATAAGAGCGTTTACCCTTCCCTTTAGGAACGGGCTGATGCTTGGTCGAACCACTAGGCTGTTTCGCAGCACTCATGTTGAGTACGGCTCCTGTCGGCTTCGCAATACCGACAACCCTCACCTCTGGGAGATGTTAGAGAGCTGTAAATCTAATACTCCCTCCCGGACTTGGGACCGGGACTGCTCAGGCGCTGACAAATGCCATGGCAAGAAAGGAAAAAGGCAACTGTACTAGCCTGACCTTTCCTGAGCCGAGAGGCTTACAACAACAACAACAACAACAACAACAACAACAACAACAACACACAACAACAACAACAACAACAACAACAACAACAACAACAACAACAACAACAACAACAACAACAACAACAACAACAACAACAACAACAACAACAACAACAACAACAACAACAACAACAACAACAACAACAACAACAACAACAACAACAACAACAACAACAACAACAACAACAACAACAACAACAACAACAACAACAACAACAACAACAACAACAACAACAACAACAACAACAACAACAACAACAACAACAACAACAACAACAACAACAACAACAACAACAACAACAACAACAACAACAACAACAACAACAACAACAACAACAACAACAACAACAACAACAACAACAACAACAACAACAACAACAACAACAACAACAACAACAACAACAACAACAACAACAACAACAACAACAACACAACAACAACAACAGACCCTAAACCCCAGAACCAAAGCCCTGCTTACAAACCCTTCAACCCCTCTTCCAAAGAACCAAAGATATACCCTAAACCCTATAACTGTCCACTAAGGTGACAAACAAAACCCTGCACCCTAAACTGATCCCCCGTCCCCACCCCCCCACCCCCAAACCCTCAAACCCTAAACCCTGGCATCTTCCCTCAGCTCCGGGCGCGCATCATTGCGATCTTGCCAGACGCCGGCTCGCTCCTGGGGTTCGGGCTCGGCTGGGCTTCTCATGTGAGACAAGATGCTTTTACGTTTAGGGTTTAGGGTAATCTTGTATTACATGATTAGATATTCTACGTAAACCATAATGTTGATATGCAAGTTAAGCATATCATAAGATCAAGCTCGTTGCGATTCCTCCGGTTGCTATGGTGATTGCGATATCTGCCCGCCTGCATCATTCTCACCTCCTGCGGCTCTTGCTCCAACACTTTGTGCTTTTGCGCCATTCACTCTTTGCCAACTCATCCTCTACCCGTCGACCGCTACCCTAAGGCTCCATACCGTTTAGGGTTCATATTTAGAACCCTACAAGGTGATCCCAACAATGAACTACTTGGGAGCCCCTGGGTATAGAGCAATATAGAGCATAAAGGCTAATGAGCTTCGGATCGGGGCTGCATCGAGCATTGTCCTACGGCCTCAACTGCGCGCATAGATATGAATATACATATATATATATATATAAATAAATATATATATATATATATATATACATATACACACAGACACACAACAATTTGTCCTAAACCTCAGACACTGAACCCCAGCAATCCTTTTGCCACTGTTGCCAAGGCACGGGTCTTTCAGGCATCGCAAGCAGCGGGACACGACCGCATTGCCTGCTCCCCAGCGGGACAGGTCATAGAGCCTGCAAAACGTTGCCGGGCACGTCTGCGCACTTGGGGCCACTCGTCACTCTCACTGTTCAAAAGCAGATGGCTACCAAAAGCGATAACAATGAGGATTGGGGCTGATAGTGGTGATGATGTCTATGGCGGTGGTGTTACTTGTGCTTCTGCTCTGTGCTGCTGAGCAGGAAGTTATTGATACTGATGGTGATAGCAACATGACAGTGATGGTGACAATGACGATGACGATGCTGACAGTACTAGTGACAACTCATGAGGAGGAGAACAACGACGGCGGCGGCAGCTAGCCGCGAGGAAGCGACATTTCTGCAAGGCGAGGTGCCGCAGGAGCTCTTGTTGCACGCTCTCCAAATCCAGCTGCGAAGGGGCTCGGGCAATCTCCTGGTGAAGATGAGATGCTGAAAAGCTGGAGCAAGCAGGGTCCACTACGCCCTCCTCGCTTTCATTTTCAGAAGATCAGAGCCCAGGTCGCCTTGATGATGTCTTCGAGCAAGGAGGTGCTCTCCAGCACTCCAGGCGACAGAGGAGACCTCTCTGAGAGTTGCTGAAAAAGTGCTCTCGGGCTCCTTGGGGTTCAGCAGAGCCCATAACTTACCTTTGGTTAGTAGGGAATGGAAGAATGGTAGTAATAGTAGCCATAATTATACCCCATTCCTCCATTCCCTACTAACCAAAGGTAAGATAAAGCTTGCTTCTCAGATCCTGGCCCACCATCGGAGGCCATGGCCCGGGACCCATGTCAATGTGCTCACAAGCACTATCGGCTCTAAGACAACGTGAAGGAACTCTGCGGCTTTCAGGCTTTGGGTCCAAACTGGTGATGGCCAAAGGGTGCAGAGATGGCAAGAGCATCTAAAAGGGGCGAGACTCTGGTGCGGGCAGAGATTGACAAGCTTCTCCAACTGCAAATATGCCAGCCGAGACTGGTTGCTGCGTCAGGCTTCCGGGAGTCTCCCCATCTTTTTTGACAGCGGTGCGTGGGACTTCCGACTTTCTGAGGGAGAGACTTTCGTTCCAGGTGCTCCAACCTCTATGAGTCATAGGAGCAACGCAGCAAAAGGGTCTCTATGGGTCTCCGCTTGGTTCCCCCCCTATTTTCTGAAAGTCCCATCGGAGCTCTCGAATCTAAGGCCGTGGCTTCCTGTTGCGAGCCTGAGCTGAGCAGAGACTTAGGGTTTTTTGGGTTCAAGCTGCTCCGATTCCACTGGGGCCGGATCAGCAAAAGGGAAGTACATCCCAAACTTTCGGCGGAAGCTGCCAGGCTCTCAGGGCCTGGCCCTTCCTAGCTAGTAAGCTAGTATGACTATGGCTATGAGATTCATCGGCTCCAAAACGGAGCCGCTGTCTGCTACCTGCATCTTCCGAGGAGTACGAGAGGGCGTCCGGGCGGCCGGCATGTTCTCGTTTCCAAAATTGCCATAGGAGAGCTCGCTTCCACCTGCCGTTAGGGCTGGGAGCTCGGGATCGGGAGAGGGATCAAAGTGTAGAGCATCCCATTTGGGGCTCTGATCATTCAGCTGTCAGGCCTGCGTTCCCATACCAGGTGTAGGCGTAGCCTGGGTTGCAGCAAAGTTGCTAGCGCCTCCCCGCGTGAAAGGATCTATGTCAGACAAACCGAAGATGCTGTGCCATAGTAAATCAAAAGCAGAGACGTTGGCTTTCCATCCAGGGCTCCTTGCAATGCTTGAGGCCACGAGCAAGGAAGCCGCAATGGAAAGGCACCGGACCTCTGTGATCGGATCCTCTTCCACCGTGCTTGTCTCACTGACATCGGTGGTACTGCCTGAGTCTGTCAAGGCTGGTCGGGAGGGCGAACAAAGAAAGGCTGAGGGACGGACTGCCATCTGCAGCCAGCGTTCCTTCGGGGCTTCGGGTTTCTGCAGCTTTTATCAGGCCTCCTTAACTGTCCGGACCTTCTTGGCTCACACAAGTTGACTAAAGGTTGGACTCTCAGCTTCCGTAACCCGGTCTCCTTTCAGCAAGCCTGGGTCGATCTCGTCCAGCCTCGGGCAGGCGTCTGCTTCAGATGCGGTAGATTGTTGGAACAGTAAGAGCTAACCACTGCAACCCGAGAAGAACCTGCACCACGCCATAAACCCCCAAAAATCCGAGTCAACCCTAAACCCTGAACCCTAAACCCTACATCCTTGGGCAAAAGCCGGAGTGGCACGTGTATATACGCCGGGACATCGGCCGCCTCACCTACCCGGCGGGCTTTTTGAAAACTAGCGGTCGTTTGGTTTTACGTGCACATCCAAGCGTTTGTGGTTTTTTGAACCAAGTGCTTCGGGCTTGGGCTTTGGAGTTTGGGGTGTAGGTCGTTTTCAGTTTTTTGTCAAGCTTCTTTACTTGAACTGGTGGCCATGTATTTATTCAATGGTCTGACAAAGGCTTTCCTGTATACGGATTTGCTGGGGGCTTCTTCAAACTCTGATATGGCTCTCTGTTTTGGTGCCCATGCACTGCAGAATCCTTCCATTTGGGGGCAAATGTTTCGGTCCTTGCATCTTCGGAGACTCCCACATCTGAGATCCTCTGGGGCCCCCTCATTTTAAGCCCAGCCTGTTTCGTCAGAGGGCACCGGCAAGCCCAGATGCAAGTCGGACTGAGCAGGCAGCGACACTCACTGCAGAAGCCAAGTCTATGGCAACTCGCGGCGAGGCATCTGAGGCAGATGCCACATCCGGAAGTGTGGACTGCATCGGCATGCGATAGGACTCTGGGAAGAAGTACATATCCTTGCAAGACGGACAGGCAGAACCGAGGCATCTGCAGAGAACTGGCCGAGGAATAGCCACCTCAGGACCCTGCCTTCGGGTCGCCACCAGGCGTAACGGCTGTCGCCTCCGCAAGATTTCCAGATACAGACGGCGAATCATGTCCAAAGCAACGTTGACCTGTAAGCTTGGTGACCGGTAAACTTTCCCAGTATCGTTCTGATTGCTCTGAGCGCTACGAGTACTATTAGCCTGAATCTCACCCTCTTCCTCAGCCCTCTTCCTCATCGCCATCCTCAGCTGCAGCATCGTCGTCATCATCATCATATCATCTTCACTACTACCTTCATTCTACCTGAATGACCAGGCAGACGTAGCCCGACACCTGCGGTGGTCGCACGGACGAGAAGGCGTCGTAGTTTGTCCCTGCAGTGGCCGCAGCTGGGATTCCTCTGTCTCTCCCCGAACGGTCGACCCAGAGAGCCCCTTCCACCGTCATCGCTGAAACCTGCCTGAGATCACAGGCTAAGCCCCATACGTTTAAGGCATATCTAGTTCATTGTTGGGATAGGATTTAAAATGCACATTGTTATTCCTTATTGGGTTTAAGTAAGTACCCATAAAAGTCTAAAATCTTGCCCAACTATGACAAAGATATCGCCTAGCGAAGAGATCTCGGAGCTCTCTGGGGAAAGATCTCGGAGCCCTGCCGCCCCATTCCTCCAGGCCGGGCGGCGGCATGAGCAACCGGTCTTCCTGGCGCAGGATTTGGGAGTTTCCGAAAATTGGGGGTACCTTATTTTGGGGTCCTTATAATAAGGATCCTACAATTTAGGGCACTATACTGGGGTCCCCTTATTTCGGAAACTCCCATTTCATCTCAGGGGCTCCTGCTTGGCTTTCTAGCATGACAGAAGTCTGTGTTGATCCCTCGGTCGACCCAAATGTACGGAGTTTGACCGTCCTGCCTTCGAAGAAGGTGCTGCCTGCAACAGGGTCGATGTGCCATTCTGCTGAGGCTTTCTGTGCTTCTCCAGGTATCCAAGTAAACCTTAGAGGAACCTTGATGGAGCTCTTAAAGACACCGTATAGAAGCCACAAAGCTTGCGCTGGCCTCTTTCTGGTTCGCCTTTCCACCTGAAGAGCTGCAGATCTGCGCGGGTTTCTCGGGGGAAACCCCTTTGCCTGGCGGGGTCTACTATTCTCGGGTGGGGGGGTTTAGGGTTTGACGCCTCTGGGTTAGGGTTTCCGGACAGGGTTCCCTAATATTCCTTGTGGTATCATGGACCCCTAAAGTATACCACAAAAAGCGGGGAGGACACGCGCAGCAGATGGACAGCGATGGAGTTCTAGGCTTCCCACGCTTGAGCTTTTGCCTGCGGCAAGCGTCATGACTAAACTGGGATTTGGGGTATGTTATACTCTGATCGTATCAAGGAATCGCAACAGCATTACTCTCTTGCCTCGAGCTTCTTTAATGTCCATCGGAGAGTATAAGGTTCCACGTGCTGGGTCTCAAACCTGTGGCTGAAGCTCCCTCCACCTTCAGAGTAGCTGTTTTCAAGGCAACGCCGACCAAAACCCTAAACCGTATAGACCCTGAACACTAAACCTTAGCCACTAAACACGAAACATTAGACCCTAAACACTAAACCTTAGCCACTAAACACGAAACATTAGACCCTAAACACTAAACCTGAACGCCAGCTTCTGGATAAGCTTCCAGCTTCTCTTCGGGTCCTTCATTTAATTTAGGATGTTGGCTTAGGGTTGAGGGGTTTAGGGTTTGGGGCCCTTAGTGAGGGTCTGCTTTCACCTCTAGCGAGTCCCCAGTTGGGAGAAAAGCCGAAGCTTGACAGTGATAACTGCCGATATAAGCCTCAGCAATTGCACTAGGGTTGCATCTTATACGCGTACTGTATATAATATATAAGGGACTGCAAGCGGATACTGTTACTGATTATTCCGACCCCGATATGAACCATGCTGCTGCGTGTTGGGCGGCCGCCTTCCATCAGCTTTCGAAGGAGCTGCCTTGGCGGAAGTTCAGCAACAGGGGTTTCGGCACAGCATAGAAGTCAGCCCAAGCTCTCAAAAAAGAAAACCCGATGGTCGAACCCTGATTGCTAGCCCCACCTCCCCCCCGGCATCCTACAAGAGGGAAGGTGCTTGTAACCCCAAAGTGAAAGGAGGCACTTGGCACCAGGCGCTGCGGAGTTCTTCACGTCTGTGCGCATAGCCGCAGTTGGGGTTCGTGCACCTTGGACTGCTGCTGCTTTCGCAACCAAGCTTTCTTTGAATGCGAGGTGCTGGATCCCATGGGAGATATTCCAGCCATCTGGAAACAAAACGAACCCAAGCCTCAGAGACCAGACCTTAAACCGCATGCTCTCTTTGGCATCTTCTGAGACATGGCTGCCATTTGGCCGTGCAGCACAGTGCAAAGTAGCAACCCTTGGATTCGGCCGCGGCCCTCCGCTGTGCCTTGAGCCGAGAAAGGCGACGTGGCGGTGCTCACATCGCTCGTCTCGGCTCGAGGCGCAGTGGAAGGCCACAGCCAACTTTGGCTTCCTGTTTCGCCTGCACGATGCTGCCCAACAAAAGCTCTACTCCTCGTCTGGAAGCCATGAAGGACTTCTGGACCAGGCAGCCGAAGGAGCACGATTTCATGGTGCATCAAATCGCTCCGCCGAGTAGGAATTTCAGGGCATTTTGAGAACAGTTCCACTTGATCGCGAAAGAGGTTGAAGGCGGCTTCTCAAGAAATCCAGCGGACCTGCTCCCGGACTTTAGCCCACAAGATCCCTGCGAGTACGTCTGCTTGTCAGCAAGCAAGACCAGCTGGCCCAGGGACTTTGCCATGTGTGTATAGATGCATGAGCACTTACATGAATACACATGTACATATACAAGCAACTTTGTGGACAGGTGTCTGTCTGTCTGTCTGTCTGTCTGTAGGCACTCTGGATCGAGCCTGCCAGGGGTGTGCCCGCTTTCTACTGACGTCGGTCCGGTTGTTTTCTGTTGCGGCGTCCGCTCGTAGGATTTTGTCAGTATGTCCTCTTTTGCTGCCATGGCTGCATTTGCCTTTTGTGCGATTCGCGCCTGTGCTGATTGCGTGATGATGGCAGACGGCGAGCCTCTGTGTTGCATCCCAGCGATGTGTGACAATTCGCCATCTGACAATTGCAGTGCATCGGGTAGCACTGCCCATGGCAAGATTCCAGGCATGTATACGCGGGCAATTGATGTTGATGAGGGCAGTTCCCTGTGCGGTGAAGCTTTCCTTGCTTATCTGATGCCTGCTTGGAGTGAGTCGATATCATTCACACCCAAAGTGCACCGGCATTCCTTAGCACGTTTTGACTGGTGTGGGTGCGCCGTGTTCTTGGTGCTTATGAGCTTGCGGCCGATGTTGCGGACCATGCTAAGTCATACTGCAGGTCAAGCGGGCAAGGAGAGTCGCCTGAAAGTGCGTCAATCAATGCTGTGGCGGTTCGGCACTATGCCGTGGCCACGTTTTGTCATTGAAGCTATGTTGACAGGTCTTCTGATGGGACCACTCGTGTGTTGGAGCATCGTTGTCTCTGATTTTGGTTGTCTCGTGTCGGCGACTGCCACCTGCGGGGAGGTGGGCTTGTTCTTGTTTTGGGCATTGCAGGAAATTGCCGTGAGACGCCGCATGCTATCGGTTGCATGCAATGCTTGCTCTGTGCAGCTCTGGATCGTCAGTCCAAGCGGTCAGCATTTGCAGCTTGATGTGGCTCCTACTTGTACCGTTGAGCAAGTTCAGCTGGTCGTTGCCGAAATCACCGGCATACCCACACAGTGGCTTCGAATGTCTCACAACGGGCGCCTGTGTGCGAACGCGCAGCTGCTGAGCGACATAGGGTGTGGCGCTGTTTTGCGCGTGCGGGCATTCCCTTTGAAAGGTGGTGTCGGGCGTGATGTGGAGTCTCTGAAGACTTTTCTTGCAACCTTGCTGATTTCGCACGGTGTTCCGCAGGATGTGTTGCAGCATCGCGTCGGAATCATTCTTGACAAGGTGTCGCTTTCTACACTCCGCCAGGTTGCCAGCAGTGACAACCCATGGGCATCACTAAAGAGTGCTTGTAATGATCATATGATTCGCATTCTCCAACCGGAGGAATTGAAAGCCTACTCAGATAGGCGGAAATTGGCAAAACAGAGTGATTCACTACTGCCGAAAGGCAATGGTAGGGGCGGGCATGCCGGATTGAGCAGCTCAAAGTCTGCTCGCTCCAACCTCCCTACAGTACATGTGACGGACATTGACCCAAAACTTGTACATGTTGATGTCCAACACTTCAAAGTGCCTGAGGGGGGAGGATTGGTACGCAGGGACTCGTTGAAGTTTCCCTCTGATGGCCCGGGCCTGTATGTTATGCTGCTTGACAGTATCATGCCATATCTGCCACCTAGACCACTTCACTTGGATGCCACTGTTGTCTTTGTCATTGGGCGCCTGGCACCTGGCATCGGCAAATTCGTTGAGCTTCCGGCGTCTGATGAACATGGTCGGCCGATTCTGGTACCAGGCACCGTCGTGCAGTTTGGAAGTGTTGTGGCTGATTTCGTGGCAAGCTGCCCATCAGTTGATTTCAACCCTATTCCTACGACCCCTGTTGAACTCAAGATTGTGCGTGAGCTTGTCGCAGATGAGTGGCAGTCGGTGGTTGTAGATCCTTTATCCTATGCGGCACAGGCCGTTCCTGCTTTGAAGACGGAGGGGGCTATCTCGCATTCTTGGGCCCGACACTTCTATAGTGACCTTCGAAAGAAATGCCGCCCCCTTGATGCACATCACTTTCATGGGTATTTCTTGCTTCTGGACTCTGTTCTGGAGCCCGCTCTAAGGGATTCAGGCACAAAGGGCGTCTTCCTTTGCCCACGATCGCCCGACAAAACCCGTGATCATCGTTTTCGTGTCATCCCTTGTGTAGGCGCGCTCGAAGTGACAAAGGCCAAAGCTCACGGCTGCGAACGAGCGCTTGGGCTCACACAGCTGCAATCTGGATATGGCATTCTGGTCAAGCAGGAGCACTTCAATGAAGTAAAAGCGCAGGTTGCTCCTGGAGCTTTGTTAGAACGTGTTGTGGAGCCATCGAGCATGAAGTTCCTGGCACTGAACTTGCCCAATACCCTCTCTGCCACGCAAGTGTCAAGCGCTTTGCGTATGCTGGGGTGGTCATCTGCTAGTGCAATCCGTCCACTACGTGCTAAGACTTGGCTCATTGGAGCGGACCAAAATCCCCCATCTTTCCATTTCCGCTTGGGCGAATTTACCGTGATGGTAGCACCTTTTGATCCTACACACGGGCCGAGTGACCATGTTCTGGTGTCGCAGGCATGCGCATCGCAGGATGAACCCATGGAGCCCAAATTTCCGGTGCAGGAGAAGTTTGATTGTCTTCAGATCTCGTTGCGGCATGAGTTGCAATCCTTGCTTCGGGAGGGGTTGTCTGCGAATAACGAGAAGTTGGAGCAGAGGATGTCTGCATGTGAAATGCTCGGCGCAAGTAACGTCGAGGCGATCGCTCAGGTTCAACAAGCTTTGGTCGCAAATGAGTCTCAGGTCTGTACTCTTTCTCATCGGGTTCAGAGCCTGGAGGCTGATGTGAAAGCCAGCCATTGCGACATGATTCATCAGATGAAGGAGTTGTTTGCTCAACATGACAGCCGTTTGGAAAGCCGCCTTGAACAAACTTTTGGTAGTCAACATGCACGCATCTCTGCTGTGGAGTTGGCTATGCGGGAGAGGGATGTGCGGCGGAAGCCTGATGACGGCCATGCTAATCCGCGTGCAGTTTGAAGATGCTCTTAGTTCTTCGTATGATTGCACTGATTGCATTCCGGCAGCCTTTCTGCTGCTTCAGTGCGGCAGTTGGATCGGGTGGGGCTGTGTGTCCGTAAAGGGGTTGTGGAGTTTGCCAGCTGTCGACGCACCGGCGTCAATCATGAAAACAGATGTTCTTCTCTGTCACTGGTTGCCAACTCGTCTTGTTGGCCCTTGGAGCACTCATCCCTTGCTGGAGTTGTGGCAACCGCCTTTCCGGCGTATCGGTGAAGCCCGCAAGCCGGGGCCGCCTAACTGGCATTTACATGGCGTCGATGTGTCTACCTGTTTGCAAATCGGCACTCTCAATGCGGGTGCTTTGCTTAACAAAGAAGATTTGCTTTGTGCATTGGGACCCGGGATTTGGACTGCGAGCGAAACTCATCACACAGCAAGAGCAGTCCCGCTTATCAAGGGTAGAATGCGCAAGCATGGGTTTCACATGCGGTTTTCAGCCCCAGTTGCCCCTTATTCAACAGGGATTGCACAGCTGAAAGGCTTGGCCTCTGGCACGTCGTGTTTCTCTGATCTGCCCATCCGTAACTCTTCAGGGTTTGTGCCTGTTGAAGTTCGAGATTCCACGCGTTTCCTTCAGTCCTTCGTGCAGGTTTCCACTCACTGTGTTGTACAAGTCATCACGTTGTATGGGCCACCCATATCGTGCGCTCATTCGCAGCCATTGCAAACGACGAACATGTTGCTTGAAGCTGCTTTCAAACTCGTGATGGATTTTAAGGGTCCTTCCGTCATTGCAGGTGACCTTAACACCACTTTGGATAGTTTGCCCACCTGGGCCCTCCTTTGCAATCATGGATGGCTTGATGCAGCCGTGTGGTCTGCCCAAGCGCTGCGGCATCCATTGCAGCCAACATGCAGGGATGCTACAAGGCATTCTTTCCTGTTGGTGAACTCACGCGCTGCGCAGGCCTTGCGTGTTGCAGATGTTGTTCCTGACTTTTATTTCGACTCACACCCATTGCTGCTTGGGTGTTTTGAGCTGCAGGTTTTCAAGGCACCCAGGTGGCAGTGTTTACTTCCCAAGACTTTTGATGATGTGATGTTTGATGCTGCTTCTCTGGAAGAGTTTGCCTCTGACGCTGCCCCAAGGTTGGCTCGGTCCGTAGCTAATTGTGTTCAATCCAATAACCTGGCCAAGGGTTTCCAGTGCTGGGCACGCGAGTGTGAGAATTTGTTCATGAACTCTGCTGTTTGGTCGGACGGGCAAAAGCGCACACTCCCGCCTGGCTATCGTGGGCGATGCGTTAAATTCAAACCCGTTCAACAACCTTGCTCTGTTCCGGTGATACCCAAAGCCCGTGATGGTGACTTCGACGCGGCTTTGTCCCAAAGCAACATCTTCTTGCGTAGGCTTCTGAGGCAAGTGCATCGGCTTCAATCGCTTTGCCGCATGACGAAGCGAATTCTTGTGCATTCCTTGGCTCCTGATCATGGCTGTGTTGCCAGCGCTGTGCAGCTTTGGAATGCTTGTAAACATGCCAAAGGTTTCCCTGGATCGTTCTGCCAGTGGCTGCTGTATGATCAAGGCATCTTCATGACGATGACGCTTCCTCCTTATGCTTTATGTGAAGAAATTTCTGCGGTGGTGCGGCAGTTTTTTGAAACACAGCAGCGTCTTTACATTTTAAACAAAGCTGTGGAAACCCGTGAGGAGCTGTTGCTTGATTGGAAAAGGGGCGGGGCTAAAGCATTTGCGCAGTTGCGATCCTTTGATCAGCCGCCTATGTCTCAAGTCGTACAGGAGATCCCTCTGTCTTGCAAGAAGGTCCGTTGGCCTAAAACTGGCCGCACTAAGATCCCTTTGAAATTTGTTCCTGATGTCAGGACCGGTGATTTTTTGGAATATCATGGCCAGGAGTTTCTTGTGAAAAGCGTTCATGAATCTGCAGTTTCTGTGCACCCACGGTTGACACCGCAGGAGTGGCCGCCGAAACTTGTCCTTAGGAAAACTTTGGTTCATCCCGCAGAGGTTGATGCTGAGATTCGTGGAACTTGGGGGAAATGGTTTCATAGGGATGTTGGCGCTTCCCCGGATGATTGGGACGATGCGATTGCATTGATTGACACTAGGCTCCCTGATTTTGACCCCATGCCTTATGCTCCATTTGAGGTGTCCAGATGGGTTCACGTTTTGAAAGGCGTTTCCTGCAAGTCAGCCCGCGGCTCCTGCGGATTTTCAGTTCAAGAGCTGAAGTCAATCCCGAAATCTATGCTACCGGCACTGTTTGACCTCTTCCATGCACTGGAAGCAGGGGCGGCTTGGCCTGAAGCGCTAGTGTTTGCCCTCGTTGTGTGTTTGCCCAAAACAGACGGTGCATGTACCGCCTTGCAAATCCGCCCAATAACCATCCTCAGTCGGCTGTATCGCTGTTGGGCACGCTACAGGTCCACTGAAATTGCTGAATGGCTCTCGTCCAAACTTCCTCCGACGATTGCGGGAGGGGTGAAGGGCATGTCAGTCACTGATATCACAGCCATGGTGGCCCATTACTTGGAGAGCTCTTTTGACCAAGGGTTGCCTAGGCTTGGGGCTGTTTTTGACATTGTTAAATGTTTCAACGCCTTACCGCGCTTTCCGCTGCTCTGGATGATGATCCATTTGGGGATAAACCCTTGTTATGTTCAGGCGTATGAAAACATGTTGGCATCTTTCACTCGCACTTTCCTTGTGCAGGGCATTGCCGGGGTGGCCGAACGTAGCGAAACCGGGTTTCCTGAAGGTTGTAGCATGTCTGTCATCGCAATGACGTGCATGGCTTACTTAGCGCACGAGGTGCTTAGTGAAGACGGTACTTGTGCTTTCGTTTTCGCTGACAACTGGTCTTTTGCGGCCAACACGCTTCATGCCTGTGAGGCTGCCTACCAAGCCCTAGGGCGTTTGTGTGATGCGTTCTTGCTCGAGTTGTCCCCCGAAAAGTCTTGGGTATGGGCTACTACGCGCAAGTTTCGTAGACAGCTGCAGCGGGTGTTGTACAATGGAGTGCGCATTCCGCTTGCCTGGCATGCCAAGGACCTAGGGGTTGATGTTAATTACACTCGTCGTCGACAAAAGAGCATTTGGAAACTGCGCTTCCAAAAAATGAAAAATTCAATGACGAAAGTCCGTCAGTCTAAACTGCCCATGTGCTTCAAACAACGGTTGGCTTTTGCGGGTTGCTCTTCCAAGTGCAACTTCGGACAGGCCTTATTACAGGTTTCAAAGTCGGAATTCAAATCATGGCGCTCTGCCACGGCTAAAGCCCTGGGCTGCAACGGGCCTGGGGAAAACGCAAAAATTGCATTGGCTTTGACGGGGGATGACTGTGACCCGCAGTTTCTGGATCTTCTGCAGCGCTGTTGCTTTTGGCGTCGATTCCTTTGGAAATTCAAAGTCTTTCAGGAGGAGTTTCTTAGGCTTTTGAACAAGGGCGGGTTGGCAAATCGGCCAGCCGGGTCTTTGGCGCGATCAGCACTGCTTCTCGGTTGGACTGTTGAGGGTGCTGCCTTAATCCATCCGTGGTTTGGGTCCTTGGATTGGTTGAGGTGCACCGGAAAATTTCTGCATTTTGCTTTGTCCCAGACTTGGATGCGAACGGTGTGTGCTGAACTTACAGAAAGTAGACCTGGCTTCAACTTGCATGCGGTCGACCTTCAAGGAATGCAGCGATTGTTAGCGCAACTTCAGCCTGATGAGTTGGGCATTGTTAAGTTTTTTGCAAATGGGGGCAACTACACAAACGACATAGTGTCCAAATGGGATTTTTCCAGGGATTCGACGTGCCCGAACTGCCAGTGGCCGGACTCCCGGTTTCACCGTATCTTCGAGTGTCAGGCCTATGAAGGTTTCCGCTCAAAATTTCCTGGGCTTTTCTCGCAGCTGCGCAGATTGCCGGAGGCTGTTTGGCGGTTTGGTTTGGTGCCTCTGTGTTCTGACGCTTGGCCTCTCCTCAAACAGCTACACGTGCAACCTCTGTGCCACGCGCGTCCCACCATTCGCACCGCTTTGCACATCTTCGTTGATGGCTCATGCTTTTGGCCCACCAATCGGTTGTCATCTGTTGCGGCTTCAGCGGCGGTTATTGCTGACATGTCGTGCAAGATCGATGGTACCGTCCACTCGTGTGTTTTGCCAGGGAGTGAACAGTCGAACGACAGAGCTGAGATATATGCAATCATACTTGCCCTTCAATTGTCTCAGCACTGCATTGTGTATTCGGACTGCCAGTATGCTGTTGAAGCTGCTTGTGCTCGGATGGATTGGTTGCGACAATCTTCCAGCCCACCACTGATGAAGCACGAGGATTTGTGGGAGGTTTTTGATTCCTTAGTGGTTGAGCGACCGGCGCAGTCGGTGTCCATCCTAAAGGTTAAGGCCCATGTGAGTTTAACGACAGTGCTTCCAGATTTTTTGGACAAGTGCCGGCATTACAATCACATTGCAGATGCTGCTGCAAAGCGTGCGGCGCGTGATTCAGCACTTTTCTCGTTCAACCAACTGCGTGCGATGAATGCTAAACAAGAGGAGTTACGAGGTGTTGTCAAACAGTACCATGCCTTTTTGATCCAGTGTGCTCGACACGAGTTCGCCAAAACAGCTGGAAAGCGTGCATCCACGCGGTTTGATGTGTCAATCTTGGATGTGTCCACTGCATGTTTCTCGCATGTCGCCTTAGTTGACGATGAGGCTTTGAGGCTTTGCCCGTACTCTTATGAGTTTGCAGTTGCCCTGTTGACATGGGCCAACGGCTTACAGTGGGCTCATAGCCACTTGCATGCGAATACATCAATGACCGAACTTCTCGTGAATTTCATCTTTACCACGGGGACGCGCCCTCCTGTGAATGTCAATCGTTTCCGGGATGGCAAGCGACCCGCATATGCGATGAGGGACAGATGCACACAAGATTTGCCGCTCGAAGCATTCACGTTTGCTGAGGATCTGCGCACTTTTCAAGCTGCCCTGAAATGGTTCAGGAAAC